CGGGGGCGCGCCCGCGCGTCACCGCGGAGGGGCGGCGGGAGCGGGAGAAGCTGCGGGAGCTGGAAGTAGATGGACTGGCTGGAAATAGATGAACTTCAAGGTCACTTCCCACCCAAACCATTCTATGATTCTGTGAAATCTTTTAGGTATTTCTGAATCCTGTACAAGAATTCTCTCCAGCGTGGAAGGAGCTTCCCTTTTACAGTTTCACAACGTGCTAATTCTTTCTTCGACAGTGCCTAAAACACTCCTGCAATAAACTTCTTACTCCTGAGAAACATGTAGCTGCTGTTCTCTCACACTGAGCAGCAAATCACAGCATTTCGTTACACTCTCTCTTCCTGCTCTATCTTGTACAGTGCCTGGTGCAGTGTGGACATGCCTAATTTTTAGGGCCAGGTTCTACTGTAATGTAAGCAATCAGAATTAAACTACTAGTGGGAAAAAAAAATAGGATCTTATGAAAGGTATGGCTATCCATTTTTTATCACTGCTTTTCCTGTGTCATAGGCTACTGCTGAATGTGTATTTTTGCCTGTTTCGAATTGTATCATTAGTAGCTCCCACTGAGATACTGGAGTAGAGGAAGCCTACTACAGTTCAATATCCAGACTAGGTAACTATGCATTGTGGAGAAGAAAAAATTAAGCATTGTTACTGTCTAACTGTGTGTGGTGTGTTGAACCTGGCTGGATCTCTAGTGCCCACCAAATCTACTCTATCACTCCTCTCCTCAGCTGGACAGGGGAGAGAAAATATATTGAAAGACTCATAGGCCTAGACCAGGGCAGGGAGAGATCACTCACTAATTACTGTCACAGGCAAAACAGAGTCAGCTTGGGGAAATTATTTTAATTTATTATCAATCAAACCAGAGCAGGGTAATAAGAAATAAAAGCTAAACCTTAAAATGCCTTTCCCACACCCCTCCCTTCTTCACAGGCTTAACTTCACTCCCAAATTCTCTTTCTTCTGCTCCCTGCCAGCAGCACAGGGGAGTGGGGGATGAGGGCTTTGGTCAGTTCATCACACATTGTCCTGCTGCTCTTTCCTCCTCAGGGATAGGACTCCTCACACTCTTCCCATGCTCCAGCGTGGGATCCCTCCCACAGGAGACAGCCCTCCATGAACTTCTTCAACACGAGTCCTTTCCACAGGCTGAGTTCTTTGCAAAGTGTTCCAGTGCGGTACCCTTCCACTGGGGGCAGTCCTTCAGGCACAGACAGCTCCAGTATGGGTCCTCCACAGGGTCACAAGTCCTGCCAGCAAACCTGCTCCAGCATGGGCTCCTCTCTCCATGGCCCCACAACTCCTGCAAAGAGCCTGCTTCAGCATAGGTTTCCCACAGGGTCATCCCACAGGGTCACAGCCTCCCTTGGGCTTCCATCTGCTCTAGTGTGGGACTCTCCATGGGCTGCAGGTGGATGTCTGCTCCACTGTAGACCTCCATGAGCTGCAGGGGGACAGCCTGACTCACCATGGTCTGCACCATGGGCTACAGGGCAATCTCAGCTCTTGTGCCAGGAGGACCTTCTTCCCCTCCTTCTTCACTGACCTTGGTGTTTCTTTCCAAATATTCTTTCCACACGGCTGCTTCTTTCACGTATTCTTCCTCCTATCTCTTCTGTTTCACAGTTCCCCCTCCCTCCTTAATTATGTTATTCCCAGAGGCACTACCACTGTCGCTGATGGGCTCAGCCTTGGCCAGCAGTGGGTCTGTCTTGGAGTTTCCTGGCATTGGCTCTGTCAGATACAGGGGAAGCTTCTGGCAGCTTCTCACAGAAGCCACCTTATGTCCCCTCCAGTATCAAAACCTCACCACACAAACCCAATACACTGTGTCATATTTTTCATTATATATAATATATATTATATATTATATATGAATGTTGCACTAGGTTTTGGAAATAAAAAACAAAAGGCAAAGATCACAGAAATTCTGGCTAAAGAGGCCTGAGCTTGAAAATATGTACATTTGATGGTGAAGCATAAGAATAAAAAACCTCACATCTCCACTAGCATGTCAGTTGCCAAAAAGCAAGTATTTTTCAATTTACTGGAAGATACCCTTCTGCAGAAAAGGTTTTTGGATCATGTATCTGATTGAAACACTCTTCCTATGAAATTACACTGTGCCTATCTAACACAGATTAGTAATCAGGCTTTGAAGTAATTTTGCTGTTTTCCTATCTGATGAACTAGACTGCAGATGCTGTGAATATATTGAACCAACAGGCTGTTTCCAGATTGTTTGGATTTCAGGGATATCTGTAAGCAAAAAGAGCCCTTTGTAGGATGAGCTTGTTTTGTTTAGAAAATTGTGTGACAGGAGTGAAGAATGACAAGTGCCACTCTCTGTAATCATGTGTGAGGCATTGGAGGTGGCAAGCAGGGAAGACTGAAGGTTTGCATCTGGTGTGTTTGAAGTGGTGACTGATTTAAAATATATATTAAGTATCATTGGGTTCTCCTCTATTTGAGATGGTAAGGTTTATATCATCTGTATGAGTTACAAGTGGGAATAGAAATATGATATTATGACCAGTTGAAATCGTATCTTGTTCTTGCAGAAATGGTCATCATACAAGGACATAGATTTCCCATGTTCATTTTTCATGGATCAGATTTCTAGTGAGACCAAATTGACAAAACAAAGTGAAGGTACAAATTGTCCAATATTTGTGAAAGGGTATCAAACTCTGTTAGTATATTTCCACATCAGCAAGGACGGTCTATCTAAGCCTCCTGAGAGTGTAAGTGAATGTGCTAGAACAGAGGAGCAAAGTCAGGGAGCAGATGCTCCTTGCAGTGTGTGTTTCCCATAGCAACCTGGCAGATTTCCCAGCAGGAATTTGCGTATGAGTTAGTCATGTTTTTTGCACCACTTACTCTCTTCTATATTTTCAAGTATCCCCACAAAAGAGGAAATAGTTGAGACAAATAGGGAGCAGCAGAGCATAGATGATGGAGGTTGGTGGCACAACCCCTGGCTAAGCTGTATGAACAGAGATGGTGAGAGGCCATGTCACCCTCCAAATGGCTGAACAGCACTTAGAGTTTGCACCTATGCCCAAAGGGGCACAAGTCCTTGATCCAAAAAAACTTACTTAATACTATTGTATTCTAAGTAGAAGAGCATTTTAATTACATACTTACCAATTAATTCTCGTATACATTGTGACATTATCTACAGTCATGTATATTAACACATGGTGATACACATTTCTCAAAAGTTGTGGTAGGTAAAAAGATGTGGCCATGTGAACACAGCAGTTCATACTCTGTGCATGCGCAAGGCATCCCAAATTCTAGTCAGGTCTAGCTGTAACTTATATAGTTACACACACCTCATTTCTGTCCCTGTTAATGATCTCTCTGTCTCTGTGCCCTGTCCCCAGCCCCCTTGCACCTTTTCTAGGGTGTATATTTCTTAATGTTTTGGGGTTTGCACTCTATTTCTTCATCAATTTTATCTATTTCTTCCCTTTATCCTCCTCATCCTCTAATTTTTCCTTATTTTTCTTTCTCTTTCAATTACCTTACTCTAGGCCCAGTTCTTGCCTTTGACATACTATTTAACTGGAACCATATGGATAGTGAGTGAAGAAGGATGGATGCCACTTTCCTATGCCAAGTACCAGAGGAATATCATGAAACTTCGCTTCCTCTTCCTCTCTCATGGTGTTCTCTCCATGTTTCCTTACTCTTGTGTAATTATCTTCCTTCCTTATTCCCTTGTGATCCTGTACTCTGGTGCTGAAGCTGCGAAGTGTTACAGGCTTTAGGGAGTAGCAATGTCTACTGTCATTCACAGCACCCAATGGA